TGTTTCAATGTATGAAATTAGTTTAGTGAGCAAAGGTTTTTTTCACATGTATTTTCAATGAGCAGAAAATAGTTTATTGTCTTCCGGAAATGACACTAAAGATTCAGATATCTCATTGTGTTTGTTTGGTTTTTTTTCAGGAAAAGCATGGACAATTTTAAATGTCTCAGAGGTTACTTGTCGATCAGATACAGAAAGGGATGAAAAATAGTTGTTTTACATTTCAACAAAATTTGTTTCCAATAGAAATTCACGCCAGCCCCCCCCATCTATCGAGGGACAGTGGAGATCTGAATGGGGAGAATCTGTATGAAAGTCCATGCCACTGCCCGGCTAGAGTTAAGCATGCGAGCATTTGTTTTGGGGGGATTGGGAATCACACCTGTGGTAAATTTCAGCTGTCAGGGGTCCGAGATCAATGTAAGCGAATAATGAAAATCAGTTCCAGTTTCACATTCCTGATTAGAGGGATGCTTGCAAAATGACGACTTTCCAGGTAGGTTACGCTATGAATAGCCCTGTGTATAGTTTTTGTGGTTGGAAATACGCAAAAGTTTATAAAGTATTCAAAAATGAAATTTTCAGTAACCCAAATTTTTATCTTCTGTAGAACTGCACTCCGTTCAAAGAATTCCATCCCATGTTCTTGTAATTCGTCTTATAAACGAATTCCGGGGAAGTCAAAATATTACTTGATCTTTATCTTTCAGCGTTGTGTTCCCTGTTAACTTTTTATCAGTCTCTACTGTCTTTTGGCATATCTGTCTGTTGTTAGCCTACATGGTTTTTCTGTCCTTGAGAAATTGTTTCAGTTTGAAGCTGATTTTAAACATGAGTAGCAGATACAGCTTTCTGTTGCCTAATTAGCAAATAGGAATATGGTCAAGACAGCAACCTTTTATACCACTTCCAAAGCAGACACAGCTTTCTGTTGCCTAATTAGCAAATAGAAATATGGTCAAGACAGCGACCTTTAATACCACTTCCAAAGGTTGAGGCTTGGTTGGTTGAACGCAAGGGACGGGCAAGGCGACAGGTTTCCAGAAAGTGATTGTATTCTCGAATCACGTGTGTAATTACCTAGCAACGCCGCGGTGCACTCTCATTAGTTTAATCGAACATTTTCGGTGGGAATCGAGTTCCTACGCCTGTTGAGTTGGTGCTTCACCCTCCTATTTGTCCCGGGCACTTTGTGTTATCTTCTGTATCCGCAGCAGGGTATTTTATTCAGTTCTTTTGACTTGATGGCGTGGCCGAGCGTGAAATCTGGCCCGGCCAGGGACGACTTGAGAAACCCAGACCCGCGCAGCGGCAGACCGGGCCAATTCAGACCGGCCCGCGCCTTTCTCTCGGAGCTGATGAAAAAACGAATTAGCTTGATTAACCCGCCATGGTGTGTGCGAGAGAGAGACAGAGAGAGACAGAGGAGGGGAGGGGAGCCTGACGGCTGAACAAGGAGCAGAACCGTCTATTTTCCCCTTCCACCTTGTCCCGATAGAAATGTAATTCTGAGTCAATCGGGGCCAACAAACGGGTTCAGAGCGGCCATTAGCGTGATTAAATGCGCCGGCACCGGAGTGATGAGGCAGACAGCGGCATGAATGGGAGATGCTCCGGCGCTCGGAGAACTGCCCAGCTCATCACTGCGGCGAAACGCGGCTGAAGACGGAAAGCGCACGGGGGGGGGGTGTGGTGGCTGGGGAGACTTCTAGACTGGGAAACTGATGCTGTTGTTCGCTAGCTCCATTCATCCAACCTTAACCATCAATCCATTTCCACTCACCGCTGCATCAGAGGAATTGTCATGGAGACAAGGCGTTCGCGGTGGCGAACACCGACGGATATAGTAGTAGGAGACGGGGTGAAAACTGCATCTTTCCCCGTATCACTAGCGGGGCCAATTTACCGCACCAAATTCACTTAAAGAGACCAGGGCACGGGGGCCCTCGTGGATAACAAGCTCATACGGGAATGTGGGCCCCGCGTGTGCGGTAAGTGCGCTGTCGGTGAGCTGAGGGGAAAGGAGACTGGATGGAGCGGGGGAAGAGCATTCAGCGAAGCGGTGGCGCGAAACACAGTGCCTGGGGGGCAATAAGGAACACGCTTGGCGGACCAAAATACCTCACGGGGGGAAAGAGGGAATCCAGGGCTGTGATGACTTCAGAAAAGCGCCGACTCCCCCTTTTTTTTAAACACTAGTGGCCGTTGTACACCCAGGCCGAGGCGAACAAACTCAAGGGGCAAGTGGGTAACTTAATTTTTACCAATCATATCGGCCGGGTAATTTATTAGCCATTATGCTAGGGGACTTGTAATAACCCGAGGCCTTGCCGGGCGTGTTAAACGAGATATGAAATTGACGTACATGTTGTTCTTCTCCCCTAGTTTCCCCCTCTTTCCTACTTCGCTCAGCCTCCGATTTGTCTCATTCGAGCAAGAGAACAAGACTACACTCGTCGAAATGCATTTTCAACTCAAGCGTGCACAAAGTGAAAAGTGAACGCTCTCTGTTAGGACGTGAAAGCAACAGGCCGAAATTGTGCATCAGCAGGAATTGAGATCAGCCCTTCTGGTGACGAACATCGTGAATTTGTCCTGCAGAAGGACAAGACGAATAGAACTGAGACTACACACGTGAACCGATTTGAAGCCATTTCGGCGTGTACTGTGCAAAACCATACTTTGTGACTCTAGTATATTATAGTTTCAACACCGCGGAACTACAACACCTTCGTGGAAGATGCAGGAAGAGGAGTCTTTTACGAAAGAAGTTCTACAATCGCTTCGGGAAAAAAACATTCCCATTTCCCCCTCCCATATTCAAAATCTGCGGAGAAACAACTGATATCGCCCCCCCTTAATCCCTTTCCCTAGTATTCTCTCAAGTACCGTTACAAATGCCCCCTGCAACGGCCTCACAAATAACAAATAAGAGTTCTTGTATCGGCACACGACGATTCTAAGAGTATTATTGAAACTAACACCATACAAATTAAAAAGCTGATTTTGAACACTCGCTTCAAAGACAAAACCCTGAAAGTCCTAAAGGAGGGCCCACTTCGCTCATAAAGGCGAACGATTTTGCCCCACTGGAGTAGAGTAACCAACCTCCATCACCTCACTCCCAACCCCCTCCCCTTCCAAGATCTTACGTAATATGCCTTCTCTCATTTCAAAGAGCATTGCCTATGTTGATTATTTGCATATGAAATTCTACGAGAAGAACAACGCAGATGACCGGATGACCGCCACTAGAGTGGGTAATTGCGACACTGAATGGCCGTCGTTGTGGCAAAGTCCAGAATATCGTATACGCCCAAGAGTAACTGTGATTTGCTGCTAGTTATATGGGTGACAGTCACGGCCAACGTTTATTGGTGGCCAGACTGATGACCCATTCACTATACTGCTGTTGCATGACGATATTTTCTTTCCTACAGCATGGATCATGTTTGGACGTTGAAGGCCTGGACGTGACTCTTGTGATAAAGGCCTAGTTTCGGTTTAGATTTAAACTTGTCATAATGTGCCATACTGCAAATGAAATAGTTACCCGTCTTTGGTAGTGACCCACTGGGGTGGGAGTGGTCATTTTAAAGGCTTTGGGGAAAAGGATAAATTGATACATACAGTTTGAAGACTTCAGGAGATAGAGGTATGCTGGTGGTTGGAACAATGGCACGGACCACGACGCCTGCACTCCCATCATACATCAGTTTATGCCATTATCAATGTGATAACAACGATGACTAGAATGACGATGACAGTGACGATTACGGTGACAAGCGTGATGGTGATTGCGTTTTCAATGCCATATAACCATAGAGGGTGACGATCCAAGACCTTTCCTTGAGTGCACTAAATTCCTGTCTAGATATGCCAGAAATCTTTGCATTTCAAGCCAACGTCTGAAACGACCGACACCCCCCCCGACAGGTTGCATTATTCATGAGAAAGCACCAAATCACAGACGGATCTAACCCTGATAACCCGTTTGCGGAGAACAAGACGATACATAATTAAAGATGGGACTCGGGTCGTTCTAATTAATTAACCAATCAACGATCCCCGTCACCGACGCGGCCGGGGACCCCTATGGAGGGAGTGATGTGACCCACCGTGATTGACAGGTCCCTGCTCACTGATGGCATTCCGTGTCGCCTTTCGTGGTGAGCACTGAAGACCACGATGATAATGATGATGTTGACGACGATGATCGCTATGATGATATTGGCCAGGACTAGGAGGGTCGGCCATTAACCAATGTCTAATTACTTGCGTGGCAAGTGATTACGCCATGATACACAATTCATCACATTTATAAGCCGTGCGGCAACACATCATCAGCAAGGAGAGGGGAAAAGTCGACTGACCGGGGCCGCGCACGCTAAGTTCACCAAAGGACCCAACAGTGTACTAGCAAGAGTGGTGGGGCTTTGATACGAACCAAATGGTGCTTGCTGTTGGACACGGTCTACAACTTGCAAGTTGTAGAAATTCGGGCACGTTGGATCATACCGTTAAGCTCATCAGTCGTTTTCATCGCTGGTTGGCCCTAAGTCAAGATATTTAGGAATTCCTTGACGGTGGTTCGTTTTCTTGAAAGAGCCCACAAACCATATTTTTGAATAGGAAATTACTTCCCCTACTTTGAAGAGAAAATCTCCGTGGAGTTCTGGAATGACGGGTGAGACGATAACCATCCGGCACGGGGACTTGCACGGGCACATTTCGGCACCCAGACCCCTCGTGGTGGCGTCGTCGGTGGCCTCTAACATGGCTTCCTCACCGACCCAGCGCTCCCCGTTCGCCATCCACGAGCTACTGGGGCTGGGCCGGTCCGGTGCGCCCGCGGCCACGGACCCCACCACCGTGTGCGACCCGGCGACGGCGGCGGGCCACGACACTCTCCGGGCCGCCCACATCATGCGGACCCACCATCTGCACGCCATGGCTGCACTGCCCGGGTTCCATCCGGCCTCCCTGTACTTCGCCAAGCCCCCGATGTTCGAGCCAGCGACTCTGGCACTGGCTATGCACAACCAGTTGGTGACTGCAGCAAACATGCCTCCACCACCATCTCTTTCGCCCCCCTCACGCAGTGATGAGCGACACCAGATGACAGGTAAGGAAAAAATTGCGCCAAAATTGAAGGTACACTTACAGACAGAATGCCTCAAGATGATGTATGTATCATAGGCCTGTACATATCATACCTACAATGAGAGAATTGACAAAATGTTGGCGTTAATTTAAAAGGGTTGTTGATCTTGAATTCGGAAGTAAACAATTATTCCTTGTCGACGAAGTTGTGACTTACCATGCGATAAAGTTATACTGAACAGAACCACGTGCACAAGTACTTAAGTGTCCGAAGGTAACGGTGTCAAAGTCTGTGATTTCTCCAAGACATAAATGATGCCAATGAATAATGCATTAATGAAAATTTTCCGGTGAAGCTGCATATACGGGTACTGTTGCACCAATCGTAAAGTGTAGCGCTATTCGACGTCCTGGACTTCCGCAAGCAAATCAAATTTCAGCTCTCGTGAAATACAAAATTCTGGGGAAAATTTCACAGGTCCTATCAAATGTTGGGACACTTGAGGTGAAATGTAACTTGTCCTAAAAGTATGAGCAAAAATGAATGCCACTACAAGGCAAACCCAACCGGCAAATTTCTGAGAAATGAACTGTAGGAAGTTCGACTTCTCTTAATATTTTCCACTCACGGTGCTGGAAACTTGTAGATAAGCCATGCGGTGGATCGACGTTACTCCGACCTCTCCACATCATTGGTATAAACAAAGTAACCATTATTGCTTCAAAATAACGAATCGTGAAGGAAACCAATCTAATCAATTGACGGAAATATTCTTCTTCAACTTCTCAAAACATACAAGAAAACAAAGTCACGTAACAAAATTCGGCGCAGTTTTTGAATGTTTGGGCAAATGATGTTTCATTCCTCAACGTTCCTTCGTGGCATAATTATTCGTAATCTGCTGGTGGTGCTCTGGATCTTGTTGTAATTTTCTTGTTTCCCAGAAATCATTTATTATTGAAGCGTGTTATATTTTACATACCAAAGAGATTCTTGTATTTGTCATGTTTGTAAGAAACATAACTGCATTCCTTGTTGGAGATGAAACTCTCAAAGAGATGAAGGTGTTTTTGAGAGCTTTTGTTAGTGTCGTTAAGCTCCGTGGTGATTCTACAGTGACTTTATCGTTTACCTTCGCCGTACACAGTTTTTTTATCCTTTGTGCAATAATTATTTATCAAAATTTTGCTTACTAACCCTACCCTCAAGGAGTCTGACAGAGTGTTATTTTCACTCCTGAGTGTCTTTTTTTTTGCGAGAGCTGTGTCATCAACAAATACAACTTGATTGAAGTGGACACGTCAGTCACCTCACGAATAGAGCAACGGACAGTGCGACGCAATGCGCCCCACACTGCGCGCCTTTGTGTCCCACGGAAAGGCCCACCCGCCTCCACACCCCCGTTACATCCGCCGATATCCCCTATCAACATTTCCGATTCCTTGTCTGGTTCTTTTATTGCGGTGACACCGGGTGTCGTGTCCCAGCTTGGAAGAAGAGGCAGAAGAAAGGGGAAAAAATCCCGTGTACAATTGGGGGACATGTTTCTATCAATCTTCAATTGGGTGCTAATTTACAGTAGCCTTACCGCGCCGTGTGCCCCCCGAAGAGCGGCCGACAATAACCGTACAGTGATTCGTCCGGAGATCTCGCTGCGTCAACAGGAACTTGGATGTAAGAATCATTCAAAGTTCTCCTTTGGAGGAAAATACAACTCTCACTCAGACAATATCGCCCATTGTTACCCTCTTTGTTGACATCGCTGCATGTTTTTCAGGGTTTTTTTTTGGGGGGGGGTCGATTTTGCGTGAATAGGTATGCAGATAAACGGGGCCAAAATGTTTAATTAAAGTGCGCAAGTCATCGTCCGCCTGTCCCAGGGCCCCATGAGCGCCACATCCCCCACGTGGACGAGTGAATGAACAATAGGTTAGTTTTCAATCAGTAAATTGGACACGCGATTTGCCAGTCACCCTCACAACGCTCGTGAGGTTCTGATCGAGGCAATAAGTACGATCTCCGCCGCACATTCCCTCCAACAGATGGTTTGTATTTGCTCAAAAAAAGTTTTTAATCAGGGGAAAGGATGACGGTATATACGGGAGGCGCCCATCGCTCCCAAACCTCGATTCAAAAAGATCCATGCAACTATGAAATTGGACACATTTGAAACATTGAGAAAAGTCCAACAGCCTTTTCCGCTTTCGTAAGTAGGCCTATATTCTGTATCTTAAATAGTTCTGATCATTTTTCTTTTCGTTCACATTGAAGCAAAAATATGAAAGTCGAAACAGAGCATTTGGAGAATTTTTTTCTATTGGCATGAGAAGCCTAGCTCCACGCCTTTATTTCATGCTAAGATTTCCTGTCTTAAAAAGACTGAACACAACATCTAACAATCCTAATACATCTGAAATCGAAGACATCATTAAGCCACCATTAGCATATCAAACACACTCGTGTACTTTAAACTATAAATTGATACAAATCTCAAATCCAGGGATGTCGGGCCTGTGTCACGGCATTGTTCATTTGAGGATTTTCCTGATCTTGCGCCAAAGAGGTAGTTACCGATTTGAAAATTTGTGTGCAGACTGGCGTGCCTATTGCTCTGAGAAACTGCTTGACGCTCAATACCGCACAAAAAGTTCTTTAGCCTATACAAGGATAACTGATTCAAATGACCACATATAGGTTTTGACATTACCTGATAATTTGTTGGGTTTTTTGGCTTTGTTTATAAATCCTGGACGTCTAAGACTTACGTATTAATAAATCTTCATGTACCTGCACTTACACATCACAACGAAAAACTGTACACGTCTTTGATGACTAGAAATGGCATTAGTGTGCTACAACAATTTATTGCGTGTGAAAATGTGGGATTGAAAATACACGTACTGGGAGGCCTAAACTCAAGTTTTTTTTTGGCTTGGATATCTCAGGGGGCGGGGAAATGGGGGTGTTGGTTGGTTGAGGAGGGCACTTGTTATAATGGACCACGAGCCCTCAGGTGCGACGCTGCAGCTAATTGCGAGCAAACACGACTGTGTGAGATTTGACACTTTGGGGTGTCAGTAAAACGGCTAATCCTGTTTGCCCGTGTGCACGGCCACGCATACAGATCACGCCAACAGTGCAAGATGCCAGTAATAACACAACCTATAAGGCCAAGGCGATAGACAGTTAAATGATGGCAAAACCATGATATAACGGTTGAGTTCCTTTTATTAGCGGGGGTATAGGACAAAGTATGCAACTGGCCAAATGAATATTCATTCGGGGGATGATTACACATTACATTACATTACATATCCATTATTTCAGGATTTAAATGAAGTTCATAATTGAAATGTCGTCAACGAGCGTGAAATATTGTGTAAGAGAAACATGAAACATTTGTTTTTGTTTGCCTCTTTTGGTTTTGGCTCTGTGGTTTGGTGATTTTTTTCTTCGAGCAAAATGACATTACAAACCATCGAATAAAGCTATTTCACCGATTGGCCCAGCTGTCCAAACACCTTTTGATAATGAGCAGCAAAACTAAAAGTCATTTACTGCAAGGTGGGGTATACTTAGGTTGTTTGAGTGCAAACGCTTTCCACCAAAGTGTGAATGGATTTAGAAGTACAAGTTTGGCGCGATGCATGCGATGGTAGCCGCCCGGGTAAAAAAAAAATGAGCAAAGTAACTGTGCTAATTAACACGAGACGACACACGCAACCGCTCTAGGTTCGCTGTCGGCGACTCAAGAGAAAAGATCAGTCTAGCCCCAATCAGCAGTGATTAGTCTTGAAGTCCATTTGCCTAATCGAAATAATGTTTGCCAAGCATACAATCAAGACCTGTTCTTCTTCTTTTTCTTTACGATTTTCTATTGACGCTCTGAAAGATTATGTTGTTCTTGCTTGTTGAATTTTGATAAATCTTGCAAATGCATTGCCGTCGGTATTTCGCACATGGGTGACGTATGACCGATCGCAGTCTGGTGCTTGCTTGTAATTTGAGCCCAGAAATTGGCCGTTTCGTATTTTCTGTCGCAATTATCTTTAAGCGGGTTTTATAAAAAATAGAACTACATTAATAGCTCTGTGATCGTGCAGACTACAATGTGACATATGAAGTCGGAGAAACAGAATGTGGGCGCTATTGAGGTGGTTTGATTTTGCGCTATAAATTTAGCACAAAAAGGGCATATATCGGAATGCATGACTAACAATGGTCAAGGAAAGACAGGATTTCACGTTCTGTATACGAGATTTTTCACCATTTCCCTTCACAACCGTCATCACGGCGCTGTCCACATTGACAAGACTTGGGTACAAATTGATTCGGGCTGTAGGTGGTGATGTTGATCGCAATGGGTGCATACCACGTTGTGAAACAATAGAGCACAGAAACAAACGTGCAATCCCTATTGTTTGTTTTGTTTTCTTTTCTTTTGTTTGTGCTTAGCCATTATGAGCATGTAAGGCCTCAGCGGGAGTCCATCTGCTTTATTTCATTTCACGGTGCTGCCAGTTTATTCAATTTTTTTTTTCAAATCCAACCCTTACTCACTTTCAAACTAATTTCCCGTAAAAATGTGAACAAGTATCCAAAGACCAGACTTAAGCAGGAAATTTTGATGGCTGACAATTCCTCTTCCCTCACTGTTGATTTTCATACTTCAAAGTTATCCAAATTTAAAAACAGGTCTTCTGAAAGCTCTGGTACATAATTACGGGCAATGAAAGTTGTGGAATTCACATTTTCCAGAAAATATGCTATAACTCTTCAGCAGTGTAATAACAAACAACGAATCGGTGGCTGACTTCAGATGCTGCGCAAGGTTGGCCGATCACAGGTGATTAATTTTCTGTAATGAGTCGGGCTAATGCCCTGAGACACCCTAGCTTTTCTGTAGCGCAGCCAGCTCCATACAGAATGAGTGGCAAAATGCAACAAACTGAAGAACAGAAGAGAGAGAAAAAAAAGATCGGCCAAAATGGATTATCATTTCAAAACTGCATGGGATGTTG